ACCATGCATGTATGTTAAGTATATTTTCTTTATATGCATATGAGTGATTTGCTTACATGTAGGTCTGTACACCACTTGCATGCCTAGAGCCAGCAGAGGACAAAGGATGTTGGATCCCCTGGGACAGGAGTGACACTTTGTTGTGAGCTACCATGTGGGTGCTGGGAATCAAACAGGGAACTTTTGAAAGATCAGCCAGTGTTCTTAACTGCTGAGCCATCTCTCCAGCCCCAAATCATGCATGCATTTTAATTTTTGCATGCAAAACGAAAAGACTGTTCTGTAGCCCAGCTAGACACAAAGACAGGCTAGTTTGTATTGGATGTGAAAATAATCACTGTCAATATGGCCCAGCATCTTCTCTCCGCTCACGCTGTACTATTTTGTTTTCAGTCCCGAATTCCATTTGCATGGACCTGGTGAGGCTGAGTGTGGCTATTGCAGAGGAATGATAGCTTCCCTTTCCTATAGAAGCTGAAGGTTCAAAGAAAAGATTAAAGAAGTGTTTGTTATCTGTCCTCACAGGCCTGGCCGGGAATTCTCGGAGGCTTTTGAGCTAGAATCAACTCTGTGTGTGTGCGCACTGTAACTCTGTGTGCGCACTGATAACGTGTTTCCTTATGTACACTTACTTCTTTTGCGGTCTTTGTGTCTTGGTTTAAAACACTTAGCTCCAGATTTGTTGTGCTCTCTGGCTTAAAGAGACTTGTTTTTAGAGTGAAGTGTAGGAATTGGAAGGTGTTGGCAGGATTTAACTAACTGTCTCCCAAAGAGCACAGAACTCTGCAGGCACAGGATACGTGTAACCAGATGAGATGAAGACCTCAAATGTGTCCAGCCGAGAATACGCTGGAGCCCTTTCTTGAGAGTTGACATTGCTGGTATTTTATAGTTTCCTCTTAGCAGTGCCCTCTGGGGCTGGGGATATAGTTCGGTTGGTAGAGTACCTGCCTAGCATGAGCAAGGCCCTGGGTTGGACGCCTCAGTGCAGCATAAGCCTGGGTATAGAGGTTCACACCTGTAACCCCAACACTCAGGAAATGGAGGCAGGAGGATCAGTAACTGAAGATCATCTTTGGGAATTTGAGGTTAGCCTGGGCTATGTGAGACTAGTCTTAAAAACAAACCAAAACAAAATGTCCTCTGTGGGTAGTGTGTTTTTGCTGTGTTTGCTCCTGTGTTTAAAGCAAACTTCCTTTAAACTATTGTATTAAAACTTAGAGCAGGAAGAAAGGAAAAGACTCGATAGAAAAGAAAGGAACTAATGTTCACTCCCACCAAGTTCAACACATGAGCATCACCAGATAAAAATTAATAATCAATATTACATATATTTAAAATGTGCAAGCAGATGATTTGATAGCTACATTGTAAAATGGTTACATTTTAATTAGCATATCCACCACCTCCCACCTGAAGTTGCCTTTCTTGTGAGAATGAGTCAGACCTACTCTTCACCTCTTCCAGGTATCTAATGTAGTTTTGTTGACTAGAGTCACACACTACACATTAATTAGATCCTTGTAACATATTTATCTTTTTCTTCTTGTTACTCCCGCTTAATATTTAAATTTATTGTTTTATTAGTTGATGTGCCCGAGTATTTTGCCTACATGCATGTCTGTGCAATGTGGTCATGTCTGGTGTCTGCAAAGGCCAGAAGAAGGCATTGGATCCCCTGGGTTGGTGGTTATAGACAGTTGGGAGCCATTATGTGGGTGCTAGGAATTGAACCAGGGTCTTTTGGAAGAGCAGCCGGTACTCTTAAGTCTATGTGAACTTATGACATGGCCTGTCTTCTTGACTAACAAGAGAAACCAAGAAACCTGGACCTGATAGAGAAGGGAACTGAAAATAGATGTTGGGGTGGGGATAGTGGGAGAAGGAGGTGCAGAGAAATGCTGAGAGCGACAATAACATGTTTTACTTATTTCATAATTTGCTCAGAGTCAGTCTTTTCAAACACTGCTGCTCCCTGGCTCGATGGTCCTCACTCGCTCCGGACCAACAAAACAGAGCAATATAGGAGTAGTATTGGTTAGTAAAGCTCTTTTTATTGTTGTCATTAACATTTGGGAAAGAGGTGTGGTGTGTGTGTGTGTGTGTGTGTGTGTGTGTGTGTTTACACCCTTGTTTATTTATTTATTTTATTTTATGTGTATGGGTGTTTTGCCTGTATGTGTATCTGTGTACCATAGGCACGCCTGATACCCACAGAGGCCAGAAGAGGGCATCTGATCCTTTGGAATTGACATTATAGATGGTTGTGAGCCACCATGAGGGTGCTGGGAATCAAACCCAGGTCCTCTGGAAGGGCGGCGGTTGGTGCTTTGAAGTGCTGAGCCGCCTCCCACCCCCTGATTTCTCCCTATGTTTAGGTAGAAGCTGAGGAATGGTAAGAACTGGGTGCTGGAGCGCTGCTTCAAGGCAGGGTGGAAAGTGGCAGAAGCTGGACTGCTGTTCATTGTCTGATGATCTGCTTGGGTGCTTGCTCGGATGTGAACAGGAAATGTCCTCCACAGGCTGGAGTGTCTTAACACTGTTGGGAGGTCACAAGAACCTTTAAGAGGTCTGGCTCGCAGAGGTGAGGCACTAGGGAGCGATCCCTGGAAGATGACAGCCCTGGCCATTTCCTGCGAAACTCTCTTTTCTGACGGCAGCCTCAGTACCACCAGCCACCCTTCCACCAGCCACCCTTTCCACAGCCACCATTTCTCACCAGCCACCCTTCCACCAGCCACCCTTTCCACGGCCACCATTTCTCACCAGCCACCCTTTCACCAGCCACCCTCTGCCCCCACTTGCTGCCTGGGTCTATGTCCTCCCTCACCAAGATGGACTGTATTCCCATAAAGCATAAGCCAATAGAAATGTTTCCTTATTGCTTCTTTTTTTAAATTTTTATTTTATGTGCATTAATGTTTTGCCATGGGTTTTGGGTCCCCTGGAACTGGCATTACAAACAGTTTTGAGCTGCCATGTAGGTGCTGGGAATTGAACTCAGGTCCTCTGGAAGAGCAGTCAGTGCTCTTAACCACTGAGCCGTCTCCCCAGCCCCCTATTGCTTCTTCTTATGTGTCTTGTCACAGTGGTGAGAAAAGAAGGTGATCCCACTGTGTTTCCCAGGAAGGAGTTGGGGGCAGTGGTCCGCTGAACCATGCTAGGTGGAGTCTGACCCGCTTTGCAGTCACACACAGCTGAATTAGATGTAGGCCAGTTCTGGTGTGCCCGTGTCCTTACGGACATCCCTTCTCCTGGATGTAGAAGCCTGCTGGCTCCCACCTCTCCCTTCCCACCTCTCCTTTCCTGCCCTTCCTCTGCCCTCTCTCAAACCCAGTACTTTATATGGCTCTTCACCCCGTGGTCAGATGACGTGGGTCAAGGGGAGCAAACTCTAGCTTTCTGCTCTGATTTCTTCTTCTCTAATAACTTCCCTCCAGCCGCCTCTGTTTTATGGCAGCTTCCTCCCCACCGACCTCTCACTGCTCTATTTTCTACGGTATGGAGAGTGGTAGAGAAATAGTCTAGATCTTAGCCTCATACTCCCCCTTAATGTAGCCAAATCTAATTTTAGTCATGCTGACACTGGGCGACATCATTGCCACCCAAGTGTGGCCTTTCCCTGAACCTTCTGTGGTTATGGACCCTCTCGGTTTGATTAAGAATTCAATTAAAAACATGTATTTTTCCTCCTAGAAAGCCTCAGATACAAATTCCCAAGAGGCCAGGATGAGAATAGAAAAACATTCATCCCACTTAGTGGTGTGGAAGGCTTCAGGTCTGTTCAAAGAATTAAGGTGTAGTCACCGCGAGCCTGATGGAGTATACTGGGGGGAAGGACGTGAGGACGTGAGGACGTGAGGACGTGAGGATGTGAGGAGAGCCAGCGTTTGAATAGAGCACTCTGCCATGAAGAAAATGGGGTTGGAGATGGACAGACTGAAGGGGTGAGGGGAGGGTGTGCTTCGTTTTATGAGAGCACACACGCTGATGGGAAGGGCCAAGTCGAGAGGAAGAAAGTGGTCATCATACCCTGGAGGAAAATCAATACGGAATAATGTGAGTTTCCTGTGAGGGCACTAAGTAGGCTTCTGTGGATAACCACCCTAAGTGACATTGTTTCTGTGTGTGTTTGGGGGCGGGGGAGTAAGTCAGGTTCCATAGATGTGATTTACAAGCCATCCATTCCATCGTGGTCTTCAGTACTTCAGACCTCAAGGGTTGTCGGTGCCGCCCATCATTTCACAAAGTGAGGGGAGAGGAGAAGGATCCGTGGATGCCATGGGCCCGTGGCGTTTCTGGGCTCAGCTGCTATGGTGTGAGACCACTCTGGCTCACCTGTCGGGGCCTCACCTGTGCACTTGAGCAGTGAGCGCAGCTGAGGATGCGTTCTTGGTACTGGAGTCTGGGTCGTTCTAACAATAGGAGCATCACTGCGGTTTGCTGTCCAGGCCAGTGGTGCTGATGGTGCTGTAATCCACAAGGCAGGTGTCTCAATAAAGAACCATCTTGCGCAAACCGTGAGCCACCGTGTGCTTCCTTCCTAGTTATGCCCAGGTGTTTTTTTTTTTTTCTTCTTAATTTAACTTATTTTTATTTTATGATCATTGGTGTTTTGCCTGCACGTATGTCTGTGTGAGGGTGTCAGAAGCCCTGGAATGGAGTTACAGATAGGTATGAGCTGCCATGTGGGTGCTGGGAATTGAACCTGGGTCCTCTGGAAGAGCAGCCAGTGCTCTTAACCACTGAGCCATCTCTTCAGCCTCCATCCCAGCTTTAAAAGGCACTTTGCTTAGTTGCTGCAGCAAATTGATGGAGCTTTTAAGCCATTAGGAATCTTGAAAACACCAAGGACAACTTGCTTTTCTTAAACAACGCCAAACTCGGGCTGATGATGGACTGTTTAGCTTTTTTTGGACTAGGTCTCCAGACATGGTGTACGAACCACAGTAGAAACATTCAAGTTTGACTGATCTCAACTCTTTTCTCTTGTGTTTTAGGTACTGCTGGGATTTTCAGCCCCAGGGTGAGTACTCCTTGACCATAAGTAGTTTTATATTAAGAATATGTAGATGATTTCGTTGTGTCTTCTAAGCCTCTCCACAGAGCCGCACTAGCCATTTCTGAGCAAAATCAGTGGAGTGTTTAATTAACCTTCACCCCACTGGGCCCCCCCTCCCCGATCTGCTATTTCAGCAACCAGAGGCACCATGCCTTGAATGGCTGCTGGATTATTTTACTGAACCAGAGCAATAATATGCCTTTATTCCTTGAGTTTCGTTCTATGCCAACGGGATCCTGCAATTCAAATAGAGCGGTGGCCAAGACCATAATAAAATCCTTGGATGGGTTCCAACTTGGCTAATCCTTCATTTGCCCCCAGAAATAAATTCTAGCATTCCATCCTCCATCACAGTGTCCTTCCACACAGACTGCCTGGCAGCAGAGAAATGTCAGAAGTGGAGCCGTGTTGGAATTCCCACCAGAACAGTGCTATCACATTTTAATATGAGCCTCGCTGCAGCCTTGGTGCTTCTAATTGCTTTCCAGTCATTGTTTTCCTGCCTTTTCTTGATGAACCCAGCATCTGGCACGATTCTGAAAAGCACGCCAGACAGCTGTATGCAAAATTAAAAATAAAGCCTGAGATTAGAACACATTTGTAAAAGGTTCAAAGTTGGACTGTTTTTGAAACTTCAAGTCCTCGGAGCAGGTGTGTGCCATGCCGCCCGCCCGCCCGTCACGCTTCTTGGTGCTCTGGTTGAGGATGGTGGGGGCAGCATCCTGAGAGTTCCTTATCTCAACTTAGGAGACACGGAGATTTTCGCCTTCTCAGAGAACTGCAGAGTTTTGCATCCCACTTATGGAATGCATTATGAATTGTTTGGCACCATGACCTTTTAAAAACCAGTCCATTTCCAGTACCACTTACTGTCTTACTAGCTCTGTGTGCTCTGTCTCACTGGGTCTTAACGCTTCCAGGAACTTAGTGTGGAGTGATGATGGAACTATTTTTTTTTTTTAAATTTGTGTGTGTGCGCGCGCGTGCGCGCATGTGCACACATGCGAATGACCCGGGGTGTCTCCTTAACTGATCTGTTTTACATATGAGGCAGGGTCTGTTGTTAAACCTGAAGCTCACATACTCCTGCTCCAGCTTTACATGGGTACCCGAGATCTGAACTCTGCTCTTCATACTTTCCCAGCAAACACTTCATCCACCGAGCGTCTCTGGAGCCCAGATGGTATTACTTTGACTGAAATTTTAGTTTCCTACTTCATATTTGTTATAACATATTTTCAGAATACGTAAGACTGTCTTTAAAAACAAATTTTACTTTTTTTAATTTTTATTTTTTATTTTTTATTTTTTGGGTTTTTGAGACAGGGTCTATGTGGCTCTGACTGTCTTGAAACTCACTTTATAGGCCCGGCTGGCCTCAAACTCAGAGGTTTCCCCCAGCTTCTGCCTCCCGAGTGCTGGGACTAAAGATGTGTGACACGATATCCAGCAAAAGCCAGCTTTAATAAACATAAAAATAATATGTTTTAAAGGACTTTTTTAATTCCCGTAAGCCAAGGTCAGGCTCCTGCGTGATCACGTGACCTGGCATGACTGCATCAAGAGCCTAGATGGAGCCATGGAGGATGGTGCATAAAACCCAGCAGTTAGTTTTGTGAAATGTGAAACCCACATTCAGAGACACAGCCTACAGCTGAGGGTTTAACAGATACTCACCCAAAACCACAGGGGGCAGGGCATGGCGGCTGAATGTCAGAAATGAACGGACCTTGGGAGCAAAACTGATTTCCTAAGGAGAAGTAAAGTGTGAGTGTCAGAACCACGGTCTAGAAATGTGCTGAGAAGAGCAAATCCTTCTGGAGCTCGGGAACTGAACCCGGGGCACATCTTACAGATTCTTAGAATGGTGGTACTTCCGTCACACCCGACACACAAAGACAATGGTGGGAAAAGTGTATAGCATGACCTTTGCTCGTCAGGAAGTACACAGAGGAATGTTCAACCAGAGAGCCCCATAGTCCCGCTCCTGCTACAGACATGGTGGGAGGGAGGGACATCTTGTCGTTTGATTAGTTATTTAACTGCCTGTGTTTCAGAAGCTGGTGTGGTGGGTGGGTGTAGGAGCCCATAGAGGCTCTCCAGTGAGACCTTACTCAGGGTCAGAGAATCTGAGCTTGCTTTACCCAGCAGGGCTGCATAAGGAGATGATCTGGCCATGGGCGTGTTTACCAGGTGTTTGGAAGGGTCTACACTCGGCTGCATGGTGTGTTTTGATCTTGCAAGGGGGAGATCTTTTGCCTCTCCCCTTGACATATTACAAAAAGCCCTTTTGAATAAACCTAGGAACTGAGTATTGACCCAGGGCCCACCTGAAGTTATCCTGTGTCTCTGTCTTGTTGTCTCTTTCTATCTTTCTCTCTAATGTTTCCTCATTCCTCTCTCCTCCACCTAAGAACCCTTTGAAAGGTGGGAGTAGGTCAGAGCTGATCTCCCACGGACTCCCACAGGTGGGAACAACTGGTCTACCCACGGTACTACCGGGACAGCATGAAAAGAACAGGCATGTGCAAGAAGCTCGCAGAAGCTTTTTGCTTTTGTTTTTGAGACAGGGTCTTGCCATGTAGGCCAGGCTTGGCTCAAGCTTTATTGAGATATCATTCACATAGCATAAAATTTATCCTTTTAAAGTGCACAGGTTAGCAGTTTTTAGTATAGCCCCTGAACTGTGTGATCACTGATACCCATTTCAGAACATGCCCATCACTCTCTTAAGGGATCTTGTACCCATCTCAGAGCCCATCATCTTCATCACTGTGTGTGACTGTCTCATTGCAAGACTGTTGAAGGTCAGTGAGTGTAAGCACACTACTAGACTAGGAAACACAGGGCAGGGCAGTGTGTTTATACTAAAAAAGACCAATTCTTCCCATACACTTTCACCCTCACACTATTAGTTCACTGTCACCTTCCTCAATGATTCATGTGTGTGTGACAAAATTTCTCCTGGGGAGACACTACACACATATCTACTCACCCCAAATAGGGAGCCCAAATTGACAGACCAAAGTATGGATACTATCAAAGTCCAACTTGGTGAAAAATGAATTTCATTGGGCTACTTCCAGGAGCAGAAATGACTCAAACACAGCTCCATCACCAAAGCCCACCCCAGCATGGATGACAGCTCACAAAGCTGAGAATCTGGAGCACACTGCACAGCCTGCAGGCAGCTCAAGAAGTTGGAGAGTGTCCTGTCCGGGTGCCTCAGTTGGTCTAAACCTCTCCCAGGCAGTTCAGCTAGGCTGAGTGTTCATCCCACCCTGGCTTGTCTGAGATTCTTGTTAGCAGCTTGGCTTGTTTCTTCTGGTGGGGAGGGGCCTAGTGAATCTGGTCAGTTTCAGGGAGTTCCTGAAGCTGTTTTGAGTAGCTTAAGGAACTTCCCTGCAGGATGCAATGTTTCAGCCTGGGAGGAAACTGTTTCTTACTCAACATCATCTCAGAAAAAATAACCCTAAGAATTATCAGAGGAAACATAAATGGAACAGTTCCTCTTTTGTTGTTTTGTTTTTGTTTCTTGAGACAGAATTTCTCTGTATAACAGTCCTGGCTGTCCTAGAACTTGTTCTGTAGGCCAAGCTGACTTCAAACTCACAGAAATCAGTCTGCCTCTGTCTCCTGAATGCTGGGATTAAAGGCGCGTACCACTAAGCCCAGCCATTTCCTTTTTTTTTTGTACTTAAAGGTTTAAAAAAATCTATCCATCCATCCATCCATCCATCCATCCATCCATCCATCCATCCATCTAATCTATCTATCTGTCGTGTGTGTGTGTGTGTGTGTGTGTGTGTGTGTGTGTGTGTGTGTGTGTGTGCCTCAGTGGAGGTCAGAGGACAACCTGCAGGAATTAGTTCTCTCCTAGAACTATGTGGGTTCTGTGGGTTGAACGTGGGTCATCAGGCTTGGCACAAGCTCTCCTGTCTGCTAAGCCATCTCACCAACTCTAAGCATTCTCTTAATGAGGTTAATGTAACTGAGCACCTTGAGAAGGCGTAGTTGTGGAACTTCAGATAACCTCAGTGATACAAGTCTTGCTGACTCTGAAAACTACTCTTGTGTTCCTCCTCCTGTCCCCGTCCTCCTTTTCCTTCTTGTTTTCCTTCTTCTTCTTCATGTACATGATGATGCAGACTGAATCCAGAACCTGGCACTATGTATCCAGCAAAAATAAACAAACAAATAGATAACAATAACAAAGAAGTGATTTTTTTTTCCTATTTAGATTTTCATTTAGTTACAGAGGAAACTGTGAGGTGTTTGCTGTGGAACTGTTTTGTGTTGAAGCCTCAGAACCTAAAAGCTGATATTGATCGGCTTTCTAAATAATAGTCTGTTTTGCCCTTCGGATTTGATGACAAGATCATCTTAAGTTACCACACAACCCAACTCCCTTCTTATTGTTTCACTTTCTCCTTTTGTAAAATGAGTTAATTATTGACAGTTTTAGTTCAATAAATCAAAATTTCATGTAGAAGATACAGTGTATGTAATTCAAAATTTATTGCCACAAAAATATTTTTTGACCATTAGCTGAATTTCCCATTAGGGACTCATAGTCTAAAACAAATGTCACAATATTTAAATAAAAAATTTAGGCAAGCCAGTGAGACTATAACAAGTCATATTTTAGGTATTTGCTGTTTATTTGTTTTCTTTGTTTTTTTGTTCAAAGTCCAGGATAGCCTTGAACTCATTATGTAGTTGAGTGTAACCTTGAATTCATGATCCTCCTGCCTCCACCTCCCAAATCCTGGGATGATAGGCATATGCCACCATGCCTGGCTAACAAGGTCATAATTTTATCCAGTGGTTACTTCTTTACATTTTGTCTGTTTGTAGAAATGGACTGTGAAATCACATTCCATCTTGAGCATTCTTTGACTAGCCATATTGGTGCTGAGAAAATTACCTAGGATATTTTATTTTAAAGATTGGTTTTTTGTAGG